AGGACCATTATTTAGCAGACCGTTGAGCTCTACACTTTGGCCATTTGTGAACTTTTGGGTTCCTGGCCCTCCCTGCGTTAGGGAGCTTCACTAATGAGAACTGAGAGATTCATCAGTGTCCTCTTCTTTATCCCTGTTCTACGTTCCATGAGCCTTAGGTGTAGAGGCTGCATTGCAGATGTGTCCCTTAGGCCTGTGCAGTTCATAGACAATGTCCATGTGTGACCAGTTGTGGTACTTGATATTAGTCTCTGACTTTTGCAAAATGAGCCTCTTTGATGAGTGGTGACTGAGATATTTGTCACATTTTGCACATAGTAAGAAATCATATTAGTCTAGTGATATAAGAGTTTTGGGGTTTTCTCTAAGTTCTATGACCACTCTGGCCATGTCTATTAGGTTATGTTACAGTACCACACTTGAGTTTCCTCCCTTTGAGTGAGCTTTTAGTCAAATTAGGTAGCTGTTGATTGCCCCCAAGATAAAACTGCCACTACTACACCAATGACGTAGGCAGTGCTGGCCATTGATGTGGTTATTTAGTCTTGAAGCTGATGCTGGATCATCCGTTGATGTTTTTCCCTTGGCACTTTCATACTGTTCTTCAAGCTACAAGATCTTGCCTTCAGGGGAAGTAGCTTCCAGGTCAGTTGCAGCTCTATTTCTCCAAATTCCACGTCCAAACTGTGTTCTGTCTTCGGCAACAGGGTCTTACCTTAAAGTTCTGGGAGGCCATCAAGGGCTCTGGCAATAGCCTGAGTAATTTTGGAGTCTCTTGCACCACCCTGGCCAACAACTCAAAGGAAGGTTTCTCCTGTCTGGCACTGTTTTTTGTTATGTAGTCTTTAGCTACATGGACTCACGTAGAAATAATGTATGTATAATTTGTCAGTAGGTTGTTGGACTAATATGGTTCCCTCTGTTTTTTTTTTTAAACTAGCTAGACACTATTTATCTCTCTCACTGTCTAACCCTTCTGCCATGGCTTCCCTATTTAAAGTGCCCCCATTTTTCCCATTTCTCTGTTCTGGGTGTTTTGTTTGTTTTCTTTTTGTTTATGTTTTGAGACAGGATGTCCCCTGTAGCCCCAGCTGGCCTGGAACTTGCTATGTAGACCAGGCTTGCCTTGATCTCATAGAGATCTGCCTGCCTCTACCTCCCCAGTACCAGGTTAAAGGTGTGTGCCACCACGCCCAGCCTGCAGATAAAATTCATAGTCCAGTAGCATCTGTGCCTATGGATGGATCTGCAGCAGAACATGGGTACATGCCACATTAAACATGTCAAGTGTTCAGAGTCCAGAAATCACAGGCTACAGGGCTGGGTCAGGTTTGAATTTGAACAATGAAAAAGACAGGTTGGGGGCCAGATGTGCACTGAGTGTCAGTAGACAGGAGAGGGGCTGCAGAAGGGAGACACCCAGGGAGAGAGTCCTCTGTGCATTCCCAAGTTTAAGTCTCTATGTGGTAAAGCACCATGAGCCTCCTTCAGAGCAGAGATGGGCCGCAATCCCTCCACCTCATTGCACCCACTTTCTACCACCAGCCTCTGCAGCTCTCCCGAGCATGTCCATGGAAGAGCACCCTCGTGGACAGCTTACATTTAACAAGTGGCTTATGAAACTCCAAAGACTTTCCCACACCAATTTCTATGGGACATAGGTGTAAAAAAGAAGGGGCTGAGGAGATGGCTCGGTGGGTAAGGCTGCAGAAGCATGAGGACCTGAGCTCCAATCCCCAGTACCTATAATTCCAACATGAGGGTAGGTAGATATAGATCTCTGGGGCTTGCTTAACAGCCAGCCTAGCCAAACAGACGGACTCCAGGTTCAGTGAGAGATCTTGTCTCAAAAAAAATAAGGCAGAGAGGGTAGAGGAAGACACCTAACATGGACTTCTGGCCTACACACACACACACACACACACACACACACACACACACACATTCATTTAGAAATCCTTGGTATATTGTCTTTTTGAGACAGGGTCTCCCTGTAGCACCAGCTGGCCTTGAACTCACAGAGATCCACTTGCCTCTGCCTCCCAAGTGCTGGGAAAAAGGCGTGCACCACCATGCCTGGCTCCTTGAAGATGTTTTTCTTATGGAACAAAGCTGTATGAAAAAGTAAAAGTAGAATGGGTCTGGGGATATAGCTCAGTGGGAGGGTATTGTGTAGTGCCTGCAAAGCCCTTTGCTGGATTCTCAGCAAAGAAAAAGAAAAAAAAGAAAGAAAGAAAGAAAGGAAGGAAGGAAGGAAGGAAGGAAGGCAGGAAGGAAGGAAGGGGGAGGGGAGGGGAGGGGAGGGAAGAAGACATAATGCTTTCTTTTAAAGCATAGAGCCAACAGTGTCCACAGGCCACAGCCCCTGCTGGGTGCACATGTCCTCATCTGTAAGCAGAAGGGAAGCCCAGAAGGATCTGGAACAATTTTCAGTCTTAGAGTGGATTATTCAGACTGTGTCTAGGAGTCAGGGAAACATAACCATGGTCATTCCTTGATGCCCATGGGGAAGAGTTCCAGAACCCTTAGCAGACACCAAAATCCACAGTACCCAGGTCCCTTCAATACGGTGGTGTGGTGTGGTTAGTGAGCTGGCTCAGTGGGTAAAGGAGCTTGCCACCAAGTCTGATGACCCGAGTTCAATCCATGGGACACAGATGGTGAAAGGAGAGATCCAACTTCCACAGGTTGTCTTCTGACCTTCACACACACACACACACACACACACACACACACACACACACACCATGATACTTCATGGGCCCTCACCTGTGCTCACACACAAAGTAAATAAATAAATGCAGTAAAAATAAAGTAACCAGGACTGGAGAGATGTTTAGCAGTTAAGACCACTGGCTGCTCTTTCAGAGGACCCAGATTCGACTCCCAGCACCCACATGGCAGCTAACAATCATCAATAATACCAGTTCCAGGGGATCTGATGCCCTCGTCTGACTTCCTTGGACAGTGCATGACACTGGGGCATTTACACACATGCAGGCCATACAGGCATACACATAAAATAAAAATAATAAATAGCCAGGCGTGGTGGCGCATGCCTTTAATCCCAGCACTTGGGAGGCAG